AAGAGAAAAATCTATAATAAATTGTAATATAAAGAAAAATTACTAATAAAAAAATATAAATACAATGAAACGACGTCTTTTATATAAGTATAATTTTATACTTATTTATATATTTTACTCATAAAGTATATAAATAAATATATATATTAACAACTAAATTTTTTTAATTATTATTAATTAAAGTGAAATATAATATTAAATTAATGTTAATCTTACTTAAGAGCTCCTGATATTCGTATCATTCGTATATGAGATGATTTGACGCCACACTTCAACATCAACTGTTGTTAGTTTTGCATAGTTTTCTGATTGCTGATAGATGCAATTTTGCTGAGATACAAGACGTAATATTAGGAAATATGTTTGCCACTTACGCATTATTACGATATTTAGCGCGATAAACTCTGACTCGTTGTACCGTAATCGGTCTTGCATTCGAAAGAGTTGACACAATTACGTTATTTTCATGGATTTCTATATTTGATCTATATACATCGCGTAAACCTGCGATATTTTTTACTGAGATATTTAAATATTTATTTAGATATAATGCATTATTTATTGTTATACATAAATTTGTACAATTATGTTACCTATATCAAGCTATAACCGTTTGATCAATCACGCACGTATGCGAGATGCATATTTAAATGCATCACTCGTTATCTCATATATGTCACCGACGATGCCGACCTCATCGTAATCAAAATCCATTCGTTGCAAATATAATGGTCTCATTGAGAACCTCTAATTATCTTCAACGACATTATTTAATCTTCTTAGACCTATGAAAAATATGCAGTATTTGTATTTTTCATAAACAGAAAAGTAAATTTGAAAGCTTAATTATAATAATCAGATATATATTGAAAAATAATTTTAATTGTTATGATTATAATTATTTTTTCTTGAAATTAAAGATATTATTAAGATTACAATTACATTTTGCGTAAAAGTGATGTAGATGCAAGTAGGCACGATTAAAAAAACTTGTGTTTTAATCGAATGAATTTTGATTTGGTTTAGTGGTACAATACAATGAGAGTTTACTTAGAATTTAATCGATTTACCAGTGGTTAGTCCATGTCGGGCCTCATCGTCTTCATCCCTTCATCGCGATCCAATGACTGGCGGATCTGTAATATCGTTTAGCTGTGGTTTTGACTGACCACTGCTGAAGAACAGAACAATCCTTGAAAATTAGTAAGATTAACTAAGATTCTCTTTCCACCTGGATTGCTCAAAAGAGCCGAAAAAGCATTTGATGATTTTCGCTGGCACGTGCTTTGATGTAAATTCATTTTCTGAATTCATGAGACATTTTTTGGTTGTTTAATGAATCCCTCTCTCTATCTCTCTCTGATTTTGTAGTTTAGTAGCGTTTTAAATAATTTGTCAATAGTTAGAAATAAAATAAAAAAATATATTTTGATACGGAATGATCGATAATATTTAACATAGTGTTGCTAGTTTGATAGTGAACCTAACTTAAGATAAGATGTATCCAATCCGTTGAAACGCTTGTCCCTCACGGTGCATCGATCTCGTATTCCTCCGAGACGAATCGCTCTAAGTTCCGACGATCTCCTGGACGACCTTCCGACACGTTCTGCGCCTTGAGGGCCTCCTGGTCGTAACTTAAGCTTAATTAATTCCAAGTCGCAACGGCTAGATCACGTGGAAATTGGCGGTCTATGCGAAATTGTCAGATCGATGCCGGCAATCGGCATCCATAATTGCCCGACGCCAGTTTCGTGTAGGACTCCATAATCTAACCGCTCCACCTTCGAGGAAATCCCATAAGTGCTTATCGTCTTTACTGGTTGGATGGAGGAATATGCGCGGATAATAGGTTCGGCATAAACGTTGTCTACGCGCGTGAATGATTTACCGGGGCGGTAAGCGCGCGTAGATAGATAGACATAAATTCCCGGGGTATTCGGAATTTATGCGGGCGAAAGCTCGCGGACGCTCGCGTTTTCGTGGAGGCGCTGCCCGATGAAAGGCCACCATTGTATCTGTCCTGTCGAGTTTATCATGCTAATGAGGTCTTAATATCGCGTTATGGGAAA